GTGCAGTGGTGGAGTGCAGAGCTTCACCCCCAGATAAAAGTGGGGCACAGGATTGGTGGGACAGTTGGTTGCCCCTTCTTATGTTCCATCTCCTCCGTGACTGTCTCTACACCCAATGAACCTGCTCTCCTCTCAGGCTCCCAGGATGGGGTTCACCAACCCATGCTGCATGTTTACCCCTATATCTCGCCCACTTTGTGCAAGGTCACATGGGCCTCCCTGCCTGCCAGGTTCAGCCTAGGCTGCCGTGGCTCTCCCCACTGCAGGCTCTGGCCACTGATGCCTCTTGCCCCCACGTGCTCTCAGGCCTGGAACCGCTGCCTTCTCCCTCTGAGTCACGGCATCCCAGCTCGACCCCACCCCACCCTACCTCCACCCAGCATTCCAACTGACCACAGCTGCCTTCCAGAGCAGGGTCCTGAGTTCTGCACACGTCAGCCCTGGGGTATTCCCAGGACAGCCCATGTGGGGGTGAGGAAACTAAGGCGCAGAGAGGGGCGGGACTTCACGGGAGGTGGATGACAGAATTGGGACTAGAAGTCACATCACTTTACTTGCAGCCAAGGGCTGTCCCCTGAGTGGAGGAGATTGAGGCCTGCGTTCTGCTTTCACCGGCAATTTAGCGAGAGCCTCCCTTCAGTCTGACTGAACAGTGCAGGGGGAGGGGCTTGGACCTAAAGGTCTGAGTATGGCCGGCAGGGGTGTCCTGTGGGGAGAAAGGGCCCTCGAGCCCCAGCCGCCCATCCGAGCCGGCTGGTACAGGCGGTGAGGGCTGCTCACTCAACCCATTGGCCACCTGAGCCCAACCTACTTGTCAAAATGCTGGAACCTGTCTGTCCTTCTCGAAGCCTCAGTTTCCCCCACCTGTACAATGGGGCCCAGAACAGGAGTTGGAGCCAATGAGCCCTGAGGGCCCAGAGCTCTGACATTCCAAGACTCTAACCCCTGACCCCATGGCCAGGCCTCCTCCTCCCTCTGGCATCTTGTTTATTCAGAGTATCCCCGGCCGGCCCGAGACTGCCTGCCCCAAGCACCCCTTCATCCCCATATCTCCTCTATCCCCAGCCTGTCCCCTGCCTCCAGACTCAGTGTCCCTCTGTCCACTCAGGTGCTATGGCCCCTCTAAGTCTTAATCCAGCTCAGGGGTGGCTCCCAGTTTTGAGCCTCCGTGCCCCAGTATTCCATGCCAGAAATAGGGATGCGGCTCATTTATGATATCTCTTTCCGGCCCCCCCACTTCTAATCACCAAATTCTGTTGATGCTCAGCTAGATCATCTCAACCCCCCTCTGCCCATCAGTGCCCGCTGCCCTCTTCCCAGCCGCAATCAGGTTACGGGTGGGGAGGGTGTCCGGATGAAGGGACTGGGGTGGAGGTCAAGGGTGCGGAGCATTCCACATAGGCCCAATCTCTGTCCGGCATGCTTAGGCAAGTTCCTTAAGTGCCCTCTGCCTCAGTTTCCCCATCTAAAACCGGAACCCCATCCAGTAGGCTGAGGAGCAGATGAGCTAATACCGGCATGTGTTCAGAACAGCATGTGGTGCGTTTATGCACACACGCCCCTGCTTTGGCAGCTTATCTGTGCACACATACAGACGTGTGTTCCGGGAAGCGTGGGGGCCCGTGTGCATGTGCCGTGTGGATATGTGCACAGCTTTCTGTGCTCAGAACATGTGGGCACAGAGAGCCATGTGCAGGCATGTTCTGTGTGGGCGGGCACATGTTGAGTGCCCTGTGGGGCCTGGGCACATTGCCTGTTGCTCACACATGTGTTTCAGGGGCCTGTGTGAGCCAGTGCGTAGGCAGGAGTTTGGCTATGTGCACGTGCTCACCGTGCGCAGGCCTCCCCCGCTGGCAGCTGTGCAGGCCCCCTCCCTGGCCTGCCTGTGTCGTGGGAGCCTCGGGACCCCGAGGGAGGGAAGCTGCTGCTGGCGGATGTGGCCAAGATGACTGGATTTATTTAGATTAAGGCGATGGGAAAGGAGCGGGAACTTGCTTGTACTGGGAAGTGGGAAGGTGGGGGCTCAGAGAATGACTCCCCAAGTATGCTTGCTTTCCTGGACCTAAGGTACTCACTCTACTCCCCCTATGGGGCCCTCTGATTCACTGTTAGGAGCTGAGCAGACATATCTGTCCTCCCAGCCTGGCCAAAATAGGAGCAATCAGGAGGGCTTCCTGGCATACATCAGCAAAGGGCGTCCCTGAGGGCGGGCCCCTCCTTATCTCTGCCATACCTTACTGAGTATGGCAGCTTGGGGGGGGGGTACCTGTTCACTGACTATGACACCCCACCTTCCACCTTGTCCTCAGTGGCTCTTCCCTGGAATACAGCCCCTCCCCTGAAGAAAAGAAGTTGTCACAAGCAAGTCCACCCTCCACACCCTCAGTTGGCTAAACTCTCTGGGCTTAGCTGGACCACACCAGCCTCTGGGCAGCACAGAGGTCCACGAGACACTGGGCGGACAATTGAGGGTGTCAGGGGCTCACCCAAGATGGCCTGGGAGGTCTTGTCTGAGTGCCCCAAATCCTACTCTGGCCCTTCCCAGTCCCCTGGTCCACACCACACTTCCCCCTGCCACCTCCTGGTTTTCTATATCAACAGTTCATTTGTCTGGAAGTCTCCTGAAAGACTGATGCCCAGAGAGGGAAACAGTTTGTCAAAGGCCACACAGCAAATCTGCAACTGAATGATGGAATTTGATCCATGGAAGATGATGGGGTTGGGATTCTCAAGTATCTCCAGCCTCAGAAATGTAAACACCTCCTTGTCATCAGCCCCCACCTCCCTAAACCACCCCAGGGAGAATAAGAATGACTAGAACCTTCCTTCTGGCAATTTTAGAACAGGGATGAATCTTTGAGAAGACCCTTTCAAGATCTCTCCTGTACAGACAATGGAAAAGTCCTAGCGGCGTGGGTATTTGCTCAGTCTCACGTTGGGTCTGAGGTCCCTTGTGACTTGAGCTGAAATCTACTTCAGAGAGAGAAGCCAGTCCAAGGTCCCTGGGGGGGCCACACTGTCCCTGAGCTCCTTTGCCAGCCTGCTCCTGCCTTGTGGCTGTATAATTGACTAGGCCATAATTCTGCACATCTCAGGGCCTCGGTTGCTTGGTTGAGAAGGTCCTTCCCTTTGAGCTTAGAGTCTCAAAGTTTCTAAGCCACCCCCAGCCCCAGGCCCAGCAGGAGAGGAGCCAGGGTCAGGGGCTGCCCTCCCAGGTCCAGCCCACGTGGCCCAGCCTTCCAGAGCCAAGCCAACCTCGGCTCTGCAGTGACCTCCCATCCCAACCAGCCGACTAAATTCCTTCTTTAGAATAATAAACAGTGTGGCCAGCCAGGGAGGCTGGAGGGGAGGGGTGGGAGGCTAAAATGACCCTCCTCCCCCAGCCTGGTCTGCTAATGATTTTCTTTGGCTGAGATCTTGGGCAGGAAGAGGGAGCCAGAGGGGCACCTACCAAGGGGCAGATGGGCCTCTGTGGGGGCTGCTGGCTCCAGAATGGCGCTGCTCCCCTCTGCTGGAGGAGGCCTGGCATCAGCTGGTGGGGCTGGACCAGGAGGGATGGGAGTGGGGCATGTGAGGGGGACAGGAGAATGGCTGCTCTTTCCATCTGGATTAATGGGGAGAGGAGATAAGAGAAATGAGGGGGCCCTCAGGCAAACTGCTCTGAAGCGATGGGGAGAAGAGCAGATCCCCAAAGAGCATCTTGAGGTGCTGGGTAGAGCTGAGACATGAGAGGCCCAGGCTGGGGGCCTCCCCTCTGTCCAACATGAATGTGTCTGTGTCCTGGGGGTGGTACGCCCACCATCACCCCATTTGGAAGGTTGGAGACTGAAGCCCCTGAGATGGTGAGGACAACAGGAGGTAGCTCTGCTGGAGCTCAAACCTAGACTCTGGTCCTGGACTGGGGAGAGCTAGGGGTGGAGTAGGGGCAAGCTGGGTGTGTACTGGGGAGCCAGGCCAGGCTGGGCAGCCGCTCAGGGAAGTCAGCAGACCCACAGTTCCAGGAGGCTAATTGTTGCGGTGTCACATGTTCACTGCCTATGTTTCTTGCTCTGTGACGCCTTCCCCCACTCCACCCCCACGCATTTCTGCCTCTTTCCTGTCATTGCTGTAGGCAGACCCTTGCAAACCTGGTCGCTGGTGGTCACTTGGGATCCTCAAGTGGGGTCGCCAAAGGCAGGGACAGACCAAGACCCACCCCCTCTCTACCTCTGTCACGCCTGGTCTCTGCTGCCCTCTTGGATGAGCACTGCTGTGTAACCTTGGGCAGACTTCCTTCTCTCTCGGAGTCTCAGTTTTCCTATCTGCACACTGGGGTGGGGGTGTGAGGCTGGAGTCAGTAGTCATGGATCTTTGGAGACTGCTGTGTAGTGGGGCCTCCCTGGGCCCAGCCTCTAGCCCCTCACCCCTGGGCCTCCCTGTGCAACTCAGCTTGGGGCTAAGTAAAAGGAGCCAGGCGTGAGGGGACCCCCCCACATTCCATAGCCCCGCTTCCCTTCCCACAGCCGCCTCCATTTCCTGTTGTGCTTGTGAGCTGTGGGAGTTCTCTGGGGCCTGGTTTGCCCCCTCCTTCTCCCCCAGGCCTTTCATCACGCTTTCCCAAATATTTGTCCTGGCAGATAAGAGCCTGGTATTGGAACTGTCACCGGGAGGACAGGCTGTTAGGGCTGGCGGGTCCCTGGACCCCATCCAACCCATGTCCCCCACCCCCACTGCACATACAGAGAAACTAAGGCCCAGAGAGAGTCAGGGGCTCTACCAAGGCCACAGGAAAGGCAGAGGAGCAGAGTCAAAGCAGGATCCTAGGCTATGCCCAGAGCAGGGTTGGGCACCTGGGACACGATGCCCTCTCACTGTGGGATGGGGACAGGCCTTGACCTCAGTGCCCTGGACATGGAAGCTGATGGCTCAGGATGGGGCTGATCTTACAGGGCCCAGCTGCTAACACGGGGCCTGGCATCGCCTATGCCCGCCCTGGGACTGACCCCTGTTTAACTCTGCAGGGTACCACGCGGCTTCAGACTGACATGCCAGTTCCAGTCTTCAAAGGTAGGTAGACTGGGAGTCGAGGGAAGGGTCCCGGGGAGTCACTAAGAGGGGTCCTGGGTGTGACAGAGATGGACTGCTCTGCTCTTGAGCCTGAATGTTCCACCTCTCCTCCAGCCCTCTTCCCAGCTCACAACCTCAGTGGAGCCTTGCTGGTGCTTTGCTTGGCCCTCCACACCCAGCTGCTAATTGTCTTCTGGGTTTCCTATCTCTTCTCAGCTCTGGCTGGTACTAGTTTGGCCAGCCCGTTCTGGCCTGGGTCTTCCCTGCCTGGAACCTGCAGGTCCTGACTGGGCTTCTGTCAGCACCCGCTGTCCTCACTCCTGCCTGTGATGGGCAGTCAGTTCTCCAGGGGCTGGGCAGCTACGAGGACACCAAGGGCCAGCCAAGGGCCTGCCCCCGGATGATGGGCTGGCTGGCTGAGCACCCACTGGTCTGGGCAACTTGTTTTCTGGAAGTGCAATACTCCAAGGCTGGGGGCGTGGCTTATGCTCATGGGTGTCACACCCAAGAGCATGGGGAGGGGGATTGGACAAATCCCTGATACCTTCCTGCCAGTCACCATCCTCTCCAGCCCACAGGGTCCCACTCTGCTTCCCTCTGAGATGACTTACTTGCTCCCCCAAGCAGACCCACCTGGGGCTCAGTAGAACCTGGGCAGCTCAGGCAGCTGCAGGGAAGCAGCTTAGAAAGTGACCTGGAAAGTAATGCAGGAACTGGAGGCCTAGGAATTGCTTCCCAAGGATTTCCTGATGCCTTTGTGAGAATGTGCTCACAGCCCGAACTAGCACAGCTGAATACTCTGAGGCAGCTGGGGGTCTGAAGCACAGACCAAGAGGCCAGAAGAGCCCCCGCTGAACAGGCACAGGTGGGCAGTCCTCAGGGCCCTGGTTTCCGAAGTGCATGGAATAGAGGTGTGTTCTCCAAGGACTATGCGTAGATGACTCCCCCAGAACCAGCTCCGGGACAGAGCTGAGGCTCCCATGGCCTGACCTCTGATGCTTCCTCCCCTCAAAGGCCTGGTGCTGTTGCTGCCCCTGCTGTTGCTGTTGGGACCACAGGCCTCCCAAGGCCTGGTCATTACACCCCCAGGGCCGGAGCTTGTCCTCAACGTCTCCAGCAACTTTGTTCTGACCTGCTCGGGTTCAGCTCCTGTTGTGTGGGAACGGATGTCCCAGGAGCCCCAGCAGGAAATGGACAAGACCCAGGATGGCAGCTTCTCCAGCAGGCTGACGCTGACCAATGTCACTGGGCTAGACACGGGAGAATACTTCTGTACCTACAAAGGTTCCCATGGGCTAGAGCCTGGAGAGAGAAAAAGGCTCTACATCTTTGTGCCAGGTAAGGGCCCTTGGCCTATGAACTCTCACTGACATCATGAACTACAGCCATCCCAGCCATGCGGGCGAGTCACAGAATCCAGGCTGGCTCAGGCCGGGAGTGTGTTTGCTCCTACCCCTTGGTCTGCATAGCCATCTATTCCCTGCCAGCCCACCCCATTCCTGGCTACCCCAAATTTCGCATTCTCAGCTTGTTCCAATATGCTCCCTTTTGACCTCCACACCCCATCTTCTCCAGTCCCTGAGTTCAGCTACCAGCTGCCCTTCACTTATGGCTAATCTTCTTTCTCAACCCCATGCTGTCAATATCACATGTGAAGTCTGGAAGGGGCCTCATGGAGCATCCTTTTTCTGCAGTGGTCACACTGAAGGCCAGAGAAGGCAAGAGGCTTGCTCCAGGTCACACAACAATGCAGAGAACAGCCCAAATACCAGCTTGCTGACTCTTATTCTTGGCCCCTTTCTTTGCAGACCCCAATGTGAACTTCCTCCCTGTCAATTCTGAGGAACTATTCATCTTCCTTACGGAGGTAACAGAGACCACCACCATTCCATGCCGAGTGACAGACCCACAACTGGTGGTGACTCTGCACGAGAAGAAAGTGGATGTACCTCTGCCCATCCCCTATGACCACCAGCGTGGCTTCTCTGGAATCTTTGAGGACAAGACTTACATCTGCAAAACCACCATCGGGGACAAGGAGGTGGATTCCGAGACCTACTACATCTACAGCCTCCTGGGTGAGCCCGCTTTCTGGCCTGCTGCTCAGCAGAGGCAAGTGTGACCCTTTGCCGAGATAGAGTCCTTGCGGGTTTACAAAGTGTGTGATTCCATTTTTCACTGTATTCTCACTGCAGCATTGGAAGGCAGGCAGCGTTTCCCCCATTTTACAGGTGGGGAAACTGAGACTCAGAAAGAGGATGGAGTTTGCCAAGGTCACCAGATGCATTGGTGGCACACCTCGTCTGTTCATGGGGGTGGAAAAGCGCACCTTTTAGTTGGTTGGGTTTGAGTCCTAGCTCTGCCATTTCCTATCTGAGTAATTGCATAGGGCACACGATTTCTGTGAACCTGCTTTTCCCTCTGTAAAATGGAGGTGATAATGCCTGCCTACCTCATGGGGTTGTTGTGAAGATTAAATGAAAAAAGAGACTAGCACAGAGTAGTACATGATCAATGTCTCCAGTACTTAGATGCCCAGAGAGCTCTTTGATTTCCAGGCTGGTATCCTTCTAGAATGTCAGTTCCATGAGGATAGAGTTGGAATTTTATCTATGTGTTTTTTGCTATGCCCCAGCGCTGAGAATAGTGGTTGACATACAAAAAGAATTTAATAAATTCTGTTGAATCAATCTTCCATTCTATCATTACATCCCTCTCTGGACTCCCAACCCATCCCTAAGTTGACGTGCTGGCACCTGGGGATGACTTCCCCAGCCAATCTCTCTCCACCAGTGTCATCCATCAACGTCTCAGTAAATGCTGTGCAGACGGTGGTTCGCCAGGGTGAGAATATCACCATCATGTGCATCGTGACTGGGAACGACGTGGTCAACTTTGAGTGGACATATCCCCGCAAGGAGGTGATACTGGGCTGGGGCTTGGAGGAAGGGCCAACCAGAGGTGGATATTTTTATTTCAAAGATTTATTTATTTATGCATACAAGAGGTGGGGTGTAGGCCAGAGGTGGGGGGTGGTTGAGATGATTCACCAGAGACAGAGTGGGAAGCAGAACAGGCAGATGTACTCAAATACACTGCTGAGGGGAGCAGCGGGCGAGACAGGAGAGGTCTGCTGTGCCATGTGGGTCGGCTCCCTGGCCAGCCAGGGATCGAACGGGTGCTATAGTGGCTGCGGACAGCTTCACAGTGCTCAGACTCAACCCCTTGCGTCACCAGGGAGGCCCCAGGGATAGATATCTTTGACTTGCTATCTAACATCTTGATTTGGGGGGCTTGCCCCCCCTTGTCCCTACAGAGTGGGCGGGTGGTGGAGCCGGTGACAGACTTCCTCATCAACATGCCTGCTCACATCCGCTCCATACTGCACATCCCCAACGCCGAGCTGGACGACTCAGGGACCTACACTTGCAATGTCTCTGAGAGTGTGAATGACCATCGGGATGAAAAGGATATCAATATCACTGTGGTCGGTGCGTATCTTGGGCTCAGCCCAACCCTCAAGCTGAACTGGACCCTGTCACAGCCTCTGGGCATTGTCCATCACGTGTCCAGCCGTTGCTTTAGTCCCAACCAAAACCCTATTTCCAGGAGAAACCGAAACCAAAGTATTAGCCTTCAATCCAACCTGAATCCCAACCTCAACCTCCCACTGGGCCAGAATCCCAGTTGGAATTTCTAATTCCAACTAACTTTCTGGGCCCAAGCATCTCTATCCCACTTTCGACCACACGGCCACTCTCTTCCGCCACAATCCCGAGCCAGAACACACCCTGCGAGAGCTACAACTTCAGTCCCAACCTCAAACCCGGCCCCCAAACCAATATCAACACTAAATTCAGCCCCTGCTCCAGTTCCTGTGCCAACTTCACCCCAGCTTCGGCAACTCCGCCCCCAGGTCTGTCCCTAAGGCCTGAAACCCCGCCCCAGAAGACTGGACTCCTTAGGCTTTCCGCTATGCCCCGCCTCCGGCCCCTCCCCCAAGGCGCTGTCCCATGGGTGGCTGGTCAGCCCTGGCCCCGCCCCTGACAGCCGCACCTTGCAGAGAGCGGCTACGTGCGGGTGCTAGGGGAGCTGGACGCTGTACAGTTCGCGGAGCTGCACCGCAGCCGGACTTTGCAGGTGGTGTTCGAGTCCTACCCTCCACCCACTGTCATGTGGTTTAAGGACAACCGCACCCTGGGTGACTCCAGCGCCGGTGAGATCGCCCTGTCCACACGCAACGTATCTGAGACCCGGTGAGCCCGTGCCCTCTCACAGCCGCCTTTAGTCACTCACAGACTTTAGTCACTCCACAATCCTGCCTTTCCTGAGTGCCTACGACATGCCAGGGGCTCTGCCAGGCGCCGGGATGCTGCAGAGATCAGAACAGATTTCCATTCATCCTAGAGTTTCCTTTCTGTTGGGAGACATAGACACTGGTTGAATAATCCCCCAGGTCTTTAGTTATCCTTGGCACGGGTGCTCCAGAAGGGGGCCCAATAATGGGGAAGGATGCCAAGCAGGCTACTGTCACCGATGCATGGATGGCAGGTAGCCCCGAGGCTGAAGACGGGTAGGCTGACCTGAGCGTGGTGTGTTAGGATAAAGCAGCACCAAGCCTTTCTGAAGGGAATGAGATGAGGAGGGAGAGGGAAATGTGCTTCCCCTCCACACCCACCTCCTTCCTCCCAACCCTCCCTTTTGTCTCAGTGGAGCTTCCTCTGGGTGGGGTTCACGAGCCCAGGTGGGAGTCCTGGCTCAGGGACAGACAGCTGTGTGACCTTAGCAAGCCCCCTACTCTCTCTGGGCCTGGTTTTTTTCTGTCTGTCCAGAAGGGTGGGAGGTCTGTAAGAGTCCTCCCAGCTCTGACAGCTGGGCCTCTTGGCCTGTCTTGTTCCCCAGGTATGTGTCAGAACTGACACTGGTGCGGGTGAAGGTGGCCGAGGCTGGCCGCTACACCATGAGGGCCTTCCACGAGGACGCCGAGGCCCAGCTCTCCTTCCATCTGCAGGTCAACGGTGAGAAGCCCCACTTCTCTGCCCCTGGCCCGCCATCTCTCCCTTCTCCTTGTTCACCCATCTGTAGGAGACTGGGCTCCGGGCTGTGTCCGACAATGTCCATGGCACAGCTTGCTGGGGAGATGGAGTGGACCATTGTGAACTGGGCCCCTCCCAGGACCTCAGTTTCCCCAGCTGTACAAGGAAGCCATTGGGTTAGACTGATGTCTCCCCAAGCCTCAGACTTTCCCATACCAACACCATGATCTCCCCCTCACTTACCACGTCTATGTTAGTGCTCATTGGCAGACATCTGTGGCACAGCTATAAGATGCCGGTCTGCTGGAGGCTCTTGAGGCCCGGCAGCTTGTGCCCAAGCAAATGACAGCAATATTGGGGCTAAAAACCCCAACAAACTTCGTAGAGGGTTAGAAGATAATAAGTGCTGTTATTTTCTGAGTAGAGAGGATTGAGATTTTGGGGGCAGGAAGGCAAAGGGTTGCAATTTTAAATGGCACCATTGGGGTGGCTTCTTGGAGAGGACATTTGCGGGAAGACTTGACGGGGTGAGGACATTAGTCAGGCTATTTGGAGCAAGGGCACAACGGGCTGTGCAAATGGAAGAGCAATACAGCAAGGCTGTGTGACACTGAGTAAGGTGGGGAACTGGGGAGGGCAGGAGGTGGGGTCCCCAGGGCCTTTGTGTGGACTTTGGCTTTCAGTATGACTAAAACAAAGAGGCACTGAAGGGCAGTGAGCAGAGGAGTGACATGATAATAACTTAATGTTTTGTCAATTGACTTTCTAAAAATAAGTTTATTTTGAAAGAGAATGTAAACCTCTCAATTGTAGATGGAAAATCAGTATCACATGTCATAAATATACAGCAAGCCCTAAAATAAACTCGGAGGAGACAGAACAATGCTCTAGCCTTCCCGGACTCTGATCCTGAGCTGGCTCCCTCTGTTAAAAGGGAAGATTAGCAAGTCTCAGAGAAGTGGTAAAGGCGAGCACCCCCCTGAGCCTTTCCCTTTGAAGAGCCCAGAAGGGGGATCTGTCAATTTCACACATGATTCCTAGTACTTAATGTTCACCTATAGTCTGCCATTCCCCTGCACCCCTCAGCCAGGGAGGCTCTGGGCCAGGTCCTCCTTGAGGGCTTCTCTCACTGACTAATGGCTGACCTCTGGACCTTTGCCCTTTACCTTTTGCCCTCTCCTTGTAGTGCCAGCCCGAGTGCTGGAGCTGAGCGAGAGCCACCCTGCCAGTGGGGAGCAGACCGTGCGCTGCCGAGGCCGCGGCATGCCCCAGCCACACCTGACGTGGTCTACCTGCAGCGACCTCAAAAGGTGAGCAGAGGAGGGCTCAGTCTCCCAGAGCTGGCTGGAAGGAGCCAGTGCAGGTCATTTGTCCAGCTCTTTCCTCTAGGTACATCGCTCCAGGCTAGGGCCATTTCCTGGATTTGTTTTCTTGGAGATGCTCTACTTTGACAGTGTCCCTTTTCTTACCTTGACTCAGAGTCAAATAATGGGAGTGGGTTTTGCCATCCAAGGTTCTCTCGTTCTGGAGTGGGAGCGCCGCCTACTGGTCAGGGGAGGGATCTCAGGCAGAAACAGGGCCAGGCAGTGGGAAGTCACTGGGACTAGACTCCCAGCCTCTACCACCTTGGGGTGGGTGTGCCAGATGTAGGTCTCAGTTTCCCTGCCTGCAGAAGGAAGGGCCCGGAAGCTGAATCGGCTGGCTCTCCCGGCAGGTGCCCACGCGAGCTGCCGCCCACACCTCTGGATAACAGTTCTGAGGTGGAGAGCCAGCTGGAGACTAACGTGACTTACTGGGTGGAGGAACAGGAGTTCGAGGTGGTGAGCATCCTGCACCTGCCCCGCGTGGATCAGCCGCTGTCAGTGCGCTGCACCCTGCGCAACCTGCTGGGCCAGGACATGCAGGAGGTCACCGTGGTGCCACACGGTGAGTCTTGCAGGATCAGCGGCCCCTGAAGACCCCTCGGCCCCCCACCTGAAGCCAGCCATACTTGGGTGTACCCACACATCCACAGGGGGCCAGAGTTAGTGTGTCTGTGGGCACTCGGGAGCATTGAAACCTGCCAGAGTATGTTCCTGGGCACTCACAACACAATCTCGGTACATGCATGTCCATCCATGAACATATGTCCATCAACCATGCTGTCACTCATCTGTGTGTAGTGCTTGCACACTGAGTGTGCTAAGCCATGTCCCTGAACATGCCAGATCCTTGGACACAGGGGTAAACCTTGAGTGTTGATTTGTAAACCTTGTAATAAAGAGTGCCTAGTGCCCAGATACAAGCAGAAAACTAGAGTTTATGTCTGTATCATGAACAAGCTATGTTTGTCAACCACGTGCATGAGCATGTCCAATCCCCAAACATGTGTATCAACCCATATGTGTTTGAGTGTGTCTGTGTATATGTACACACAGTGCACAATCTCCTTTCAAGTGTGCAAACAACATATCTACAATTTCTAGGCATGTGTGCAAACTGGTATACTACAGATCTGTAAACATGGAGTAGCCTTTCTGTGACAGCTTGCAAACATACCTTCTATACACACACCTGCTGTACAGGTGATAGCCGGTACACACACACACACACACACACACACAAATGCATAATTCTTGTCCATGTGAACTGTCTCCACCAGTGTCTAGATGCTTTTGCTGCCTGCTAACCCAGGCCTACACATGATGCTTCTCTCATTTATTCATCACTTTCCTCATTTATCAATTAATTATGGGATCCCAACTTCTCCCTGAAGGTATAGAGGCCAAAGACTCAGCCCTAAGAAGAGGTAGATAAGGAACAAGGCAACCCCACTGTGGGATCAGCCCTTTGGAGAAGAAGCCTAGCAGGGAAGGAATGTCATGCCCAGCTGGGGATTCAGGAAGTATCCTGGAAAAAGATACTTTTACCCTTTTTTAGATCAAAACCTTGAGGGTAATTAGGAGTTTGTCTAATAAGGAATGGTGTTCCCATTCAGAGGGAACGGCCTGCGCAAAAACTCAGAGGCAAAGTAACTTCAGAGAAATGAAAAGAATTCCACCTGGAGCCAAGATAGGACAGGTCCATGGCCTTGTACACGAAGGTGCTTCCGCACAAAGACCGCCTCGCCTACCCCACGGCAGGGTTGGTTGTGGGTGTAATACCTTAGCTCTCCCTCACTTGCACCAGTGCCTTCACATCCCTGAGCCCTGAGACCAGCTGGTTAGGTGAGGGCTTCTCTTTTCCCCTAAAAGATGAAGACTCACTACTCACCAGAACCAGCGTGTGTGACCTGGTGGGGAGAGGGAGGAGGAGAGAGGTGTTGGTCTGAGGCCCCAAGGAGGAGGAGCAGGGCTCTCTGGAGAACAGAGAAGGGCAGGTGGGGGACAGATGAGGGGCCCACGTGAAGCAGGGCAGGGGAGATGGGGGTCTGGCCAGCGTGGATGCAAAAGAAGAGCAAAAGAATGGGAAGGTATGCATCAGAGAGGCTGAGACCTTAGGTGTGGAGGTGGTGTGGGGTTAGGGGGTGCAGTGCTGGGCTTCCTTGGCTGCACCAGTTCCCTGGAGGATGCACTTTATAACCACCCTCACTGCCCCAGCTCCACTTGGACACTGGGGGTAAAACAGGGAAGGCAACAGTTTCCTCTCTGTAATCTACAAGTGGTTGCTCCGTCACTCAGGCCGTCAGCTAGTTGGCCAGGCTTTGGCAGCCCAACCAGGGCGCGGTTTCAGAGGAGAGGTAAACTTAGCCCAACCGTAAGGAACAAACTTGCCTCCCCGCTGGGGCAACGGCAGGCAGGCCACACTGACCCCACCAAGTACTGAAGGGATGTGGAGGCTGATGGGATCTGGGGTAGTTACTAGGGGCCTGAGGTATTTGTGGAGAGGCTGAGCAGGAGCACAGGTTCTCTTCTGAGCAGGATGGGCAGAGGGGATTTGTGGTGTCAGAGGTGGGGTGAGGGGCTGGCAGCTACTGAGCACCCTGTTTGCTATGGACAACTCTTGTCTCTGCCTCTAGTCCTGCCCTTCAAGGTGGTGGTGATCTCAATCATCCTGGCCTTAGTGGTCCTTACGATCATCTCCCTCATCATCCTTATCGTGCTCTGGCAGAAGGTAAGCCCTGCCCCCATCTAACGAGTATAGACAGGCACGCCAGGTTTTTCGCATGGGCCCCCCTGCTGGCCTTGTGGGCTAAAGGATCTGATCATATCCACCCCCAGCACAGAGCCCTGCATGCAGTGCTCTAGAGAGCTGAGTTTCTGAGCTTCCTCCCCGTCAATAGCCTGAGCCAACATGGCCCCCATCCAAGGCTCCCTGCTTCTGCCGTGTCCCTCCCACTCCCTGTGCCGGCATCAGCCCGCACGTGCCGTACATAGGGTCTGGGCCTTCGCGTAGACTCCATGGCTCCCAGGATTCTTTCACCTCCTACCCACAGAGACGCCCAGGATTCCACCAAAATGCAATCTGATCCTGTTCATCTGTAATTTCAATATTCTGTCCTGAGATTTGACCTCTGATTCCAACATTTTAAGATTATTGATATGGACTGTAGCACCCCCTGATTTTATCATTCTAAGATTCCAACTCTGCGATCCCCACATCCTATGATTTCCACACTATGAGTTTACCTCTTTTTGTCTTTCTGACTTTCCACTGTTTCTGAACAAGCAGGGGTGAGGGGGTGCTATCCACATTGCCAGAACCCCCCCACCCCAGTCAATTTCTGAAGCTGTCTTGCTGTCGGCTCCCATCTGAGCAGCCGTTGAGGTGCTGAGAGAAGCTGGTAATGAGGTTCTGATGAGCTGGGCCTTCTGCTGTCACGGCTCCCCAGCCACCCGCTCCACTCCACCCTCCGCTGCCCGCTTGGCACCGGTTCCCACTAAACCCATGAAGACCTTGGCTCCATCCACCATTTGCTGTGTGGCTTCGGCATGCCCCTGCCCTCCTCTGGGCCTTGGAGTCTCCTGCTCCATAAGGGGCGGGACCTAGAGAGCTTCAAGTTCCAGTCCCCTCTGAGCAAACTTCCCTGGCCTCCATCCTGCAGAAGCCACGCTATGAGATCCGATGGAAGGTGATCGAATCCGTGAGCTCTGACGGCCATGAATACATCTACGTGGATCCCATGCAACTGCCTTACGACTCCACCTGGGAGCTGCCACGGGACCAGCTTGTGCTTGGTCAGTCCGGGAGGCCTCTGGTGCCAATCAGGGACTCGAGGTGGGAGGGAAGACTATGTGAGCTCTGACCCCAGTTTTGCCATGACTGGGTTTGAGGTCTAGGGCCTTCTCTGTCCCTCAATCTTGTCCTCTGTGCCATGGGGACCAGATGGTCCTCAGAGATCGAGCAATGAAGTCCTGTGATCTGTGACTGTGTGTGATGCCCGCTTCATGGTGAGAAAGGAAATAATAAAAATCACAGGCAGGCTGAGCATTGGGTCGGAGGGAATGATGGGTGCAGAGGTATTAGGCACCCCTCTGGGGAGGGAGGAAGCTTTCTGGAGACTCAGATGGGCCAGAAGGTAGGCAGGACTTAAATGAGGTAGCAGGAAATACTGAAGCACTGCGATTTTAGGGGCCTCTGGGGGGCTTGAAGGATGTCTAGGTTGACCTCAATGGGGTGGGGTGGCAGCTTCATGATAGACCAGGAGCTGAGAGAATCTCTCTCCTCAGGACGCACCCTGGGCTCTGGAGCTTTCGGGCAGGTGGTGGAGGCCACGGCGCACGGCCTGAGCCACTCCCAGGCCACCATGAAAGTGGCCGTCAAGATGCTAAAATGTGAGTGCGGGAGCTCAACCCTCCCTTGCCTCCAGCACCCCCTCTTCTTTCCCTTCCCCACACGGAAGCACCCTGATTCTGGTTTGAGCAAGTCTGATTCTGGTTTGCTGGGTACAAGAAGGGTGGTCTTACTGCAGCTGGCACCACCCCGATTCTGTGTAGGGAGAGAGACTTCCTTAGGGTTCCCTCCTCTGGAAGCCTCCTTGCCCTCCATCTTCTTCCTGTCAGTCCTCTCTCCCCGCCCTGGGTGTGTCGGTCCTCATCTCCCTAGGCCACCTGTCTTTCAGCCCAGGTGGGACAAAAGAGTCAGAAATGGCTCTGGTGGGTGGGCGAGGCCTGAGTGTCCTCTGTCCCGCAGCCACAGCCCGCAGCAGTGAGAAGCAAGCCCTCATGTCGGAGCTGAAGATCATGAGTCACCTGGGGCCCCACCTGAATGTGGTCAACCTGCTGGGGGCCTGCACCAAAGGAGGTAACAAACCCTCTGCCTTGGGGGATCCGGGGGATGCCAGTGCAAGACCTGCCCCTCCTCGCCCCCACTGCCCCCTCCTCACCCTCGTCCTTGCAGCGTTCTCACCCTCCTCGTCCGCAACAACAGGACTCTTCGGACCCAGAGGGCACAGGGTTTACAAACTCACAAAACCATAGCACCTTCAAGGCCGAAGGACTCTGCAGGACACCAGTCCCAGTGGTTTCCAAATCAAGGGCCCTGTGGCATTTTTTGTTTCCATACTAGATTTTAGACACTAATAAATAACAGCTCAACGACACCGAGATGAGTCACACGCCCGCACTGGAGACCACCCGCACTCTCACTGCGAGCTGCCTCCAGTCCTGCGTTCCCAGCATAGATAAAGTCTCTCCAGGCCAGAGTGTTTATTTGAAGCTTTGATTGTAAGTTAGGCTGTAAAAAAAAAAAAAAAGGAAAGAAAAGAAAAGAAAGGCCACCATTTGCAGCTGCTTATTGTGAGAGTTAGGGTTTTCCTCGGCATTGTGCAAGCAAAACCAAATACAGAAGTATGTGCATGCATGAGCCAATTTATGTTTACAGAGATCAACCATTTCAAAATGATTGTTTCCATCAATAGAGTCAACTTCCCAACTGACCTTCTAGAGCTTTCATTTCTCTTTACATGAATGTATTTAACAGTTGTTCTTTTCACTTTATATACTGGCCAAAATAAGCTTTAGTTTGAAAACTGTCCATAACAGGTAGCTCTGTGCGTGGACCCCACCTGAACAGGCATCATCTCACTAACACACCAACACCCTAAGTGTCTCATTAGCTCCATGGAACAGATGGGGGAGTAAGGGCTGCTCGTGGTCACAGAGGCAGGCAGGGAGTCCAATGAGCCAGCGCTGGCCTCTCGACCATCTCCCCAGCTGCCTCTCCCACAAGCAGCTTGTTCTTCACCCTGGTGGGGAGGCTGCGGCCTCCTGTCCCTGAGCCTGTCCCTCCCTCCGCAGGGCCCATCTACATCATCACTGAGTACTGCCGCTACGGCGACCTGGTGGACTACCTGCACCGCAACAAGCACACCTTCCTGCAGCTCTGCTCTGACAAGCGCCGCCCACCCAGCGCCGAGCTCTACAGCAACGCCCTGCCCGTTGGGCTCCCCCTGCCCAGGTAGCACCTGTCTGGGAGCCCAAAGGGAGGCGGAGGGGACCTGACCTTCGGGGAGGCCTGAGGAATGCCTGCTCACTGCCCCCTTGTCCAGGATGAAGCTGGGCCCAGGGCCCTTTCATAAGTCACTCCAGTGCAGGGCTTAGCGGTGAAGATGAAGATGGTGGTGGCTTCAGGCACCACCTACTGACTGTAGTGTCCAGGCCCTGTGCTGAGTGCTCGGCAGACGCACCTCCTTTCCCCTGACACCAACCCTGTGTCCCTATTTTCACCTCCCTCGCCACTGGGTGCTCCAGTCCCAGCCTGACTATCATCACTGCGCTGCATCCCTGAGTCCTCCCTGAAGTGCCCACTCTGTCTGCACATTGGTTTCTCTCTTCTTTACCAAAAATAACTTTTTGTCATTCTTTTGCTGATTACAAAAGCAATACGTGTTTATTGCTGACATAAGAGTAACTTCCCCTCAACACACTGATCAATTTCCTTCCAGTCTTTTTTCTACCACTAGAGACATTCCTGCCTGTAGTCCCACAGCGCCCAGGGGAGCTGGTGCCGCAGACAGAGGCATTAAGGAGACACATGATCCACCCTGGGTGGTGGCTGGGCTGGATGGTGCTGTGGACACACAGACAGGACACACCCACCTTGTGGGTGCTGTAATAGCCTCTGGACATGACCTGTCTGAGAACACACACTAGGTCTTAGGTCCTGTTGGCAGCCTCAGCACCCAGCTCAGGGCCCAAGAGGCTGGCTGAAAGCGCTTGCTTCTTGGTTACCCACATTGTGAAAGTTTAGAGGAGGGTGAGTGAGTGAGAGGAGAAATACATGGGTGCAGAGCCTGTGGACCCCAAGGGTGAGCAGAGGGTCCAAAGGAAGGGAAGGGAATGGCTGTGGCCTCTCCTTGCATGATGCTTCTCTCACCCCAGCCACATGTCCCTGCCTGGGGAGAGCGATGGTGGCTACATGGACATGAGCAAGGACGAGTCGGTGGACTACGTGCCCATGCTGGACATGAAAGGAGACATCAAATATGCAGACATAGAGTCCTCCAACTACATGGCCCCTTACGACAACTACGTCCCCTCTGGTGGGTGCCCACAGCATCCTCACAGCTGGGCAGCATTGCAGTTTTTCCAAAACTGTTCACATGCTCAGCTTGGCAACAACTCTGGAATTAAGGTGGCCATGTGCCTGCCTCATAAATGCAAAACCTGAGGTTAACCACCTGCTCAAGCCTCAGGGTGGAACCCCAGGATGATCCAGTTTCTGGGTCCAGAGGGACGCACATGGCCCACAGGGAGGAGAACTGGGGTGGGGGTACCTGGCCTCCTGGGGCCTTGGGGAGAGTGCTCTGTGCAGACCAGGCCCCAGGCCAGTCTAGTGTCCTCAGGAACTAGGCAAGCCAGCCAAGCAGAGGTGGCCCAGAGCTAATGCCAGTAGTTTTTCTGGCCAATGAGGAGGTAGAAGAGGTTTAAGTTATCTATTTAGAAGTTGTTTTCCTTGTGGGGGAGACTTACAGGGTCAGTAGCCACCTGTCTGGGACACTCAGCCTCTGTGGGCCGAAGGGCAAGGGTTCTGTGGCTGTGGGGAGACCTTGTGCTCTCTGTCCCCTAGCTCCTGAGAGGACCTGTCGGGCGACTCTCATCAACGAGTCCCCGGTGCTTAGCTACACGGATCTGGTGGGCTTCAGCTACCAAGTGGCCAATGGCATGGAGTTCCTGGCCTCCAAGAACGTACGTGTGGTTGCAGAATGGGGGGATGAGTACATGGGTCACCCAGTCGGGTTGGGTGTCCTCATACAGTGCAAGGTCCCCTCTGGTGGGGAGACCATGAATGTGTCCCCCCCATTTTATCCCCATGCCCACGATGCACTTTCCCCTGGGCTCTTGACACAGAGGGTCCTTCCCCTCAAGTGTCACCAAGGCCTCAGCCCCCACCCTCCCATCCCCCCACCCAGTGTGTCCACAGAGATCTGGCAGCCAGGAACGTGCTCATCTGTGAGGGCAAGCTGGTCAAGATCTGTGACTTCGGCCTGGCTCGTGACATCATGCGGGACTCAAATTATATCTCCAAAGGCAGTGTGAGTGTCTTCCCGACCCCAGCCGTGGGGTCCCTCTGGGTCAGCTTGGTAGTGGTTCTCCGAAGACCAGGATGGGGCTCCCAAGGGTGCCAGGCTCTGCTGCCTAGCCATGTGTGTGGGAGCAGGAAGGGGAGTCACCAGCTATGCCTGGGGTGAGAGGGGGAGATGCTGAGGCTTGTGGGGTTTAGACTTTCTGGTCATGGCTCTAAGGAAACCCCGGAAAGGTGGGAGGGGGGCAGATCAAAGGTGTTTTAGTGCTGTTGGGGCGCAGGCAGTAAGACAGATACGTTAAAACAGGACCATCTGCCTCTCGCTCATAGCCCCACTTTCACACATGGGGCCATTGAACCCCAGAACTGGAGGGACATTGGGCAGCTGAGATGAGAGCTGCCTGACCCGTTGGCATGTCTCTGGCATGACCCCTCTACCAACATGCCAGGGGCCTCTATTGAGGCAAGGGGGGTGGCCTGTCCGTGGAGGGGCCTCAACCCTGGTGCCTTTCCCCACGGACAGGGGCTGCTGTGGAGTGGGTGTGAGGTGGAGGGATGGGGAGAGAGAAGGCGCTGAGGTGGGAATTGCCAGTCCAGGTGCACTCAGCCCCTGCCCGGCCCTGCCCTCTTGCAGACCTTCCTGCCTCTAAAGTGGATGGCCCCTGAGAGCATCTTCAACAGCCTCTACACCACCCTGAGCGATGTGTGGTCCTTTGGAATCCTGCTCTGGGAGATCTTCACGCTGGGTACACCTCCCTCCCCGGCACGCAGTGGCACCATGCCCTGCCTGCGCACTTGCAGTCTGGTGGGCCTGTGGAACAGGCTCTGGGACACGGCCCAGGCTCAAGTGCCAGCTCTGCTGCTAAGTGCAGCTCTTGCTGTGTGACTTTGGCAAGGTTCCTGCCCTCTCTGCGTCTCCTAACATCCCCATCTGAATATTGAGGGGTTCGCATAGTAACATCAAAAAGCCTGTTTGGTTCTGGTGTCCCTGCTCTCTAATTCTGGGAGGGTTGCGGTTTCTGTTCAGCACCGAGGAAGGAACCCCCAGCGTCCCAGTGTCAGGGCCACCCTCACCCATTCTAGACTGGTGCACCTCTCCCGGTTCCGCAGAGAGGGTCGCTGCCACTTTGCCAGCACCCCTGAAACTGTGTCCCTTTTGTCTCTGCTCCCCACCAGGTGGCACCCCTTACCCAGAGCTTCCCATGAATGAGCAGTTCTACAACGCCATCAAGCGGGGCTACCGCATGGCCCAGCCGGCCCACGCCTCTGATGAGATGTGAGTGGAACCTCGTGGCTTGGGAGGATTTCTACTGGCCTGAGCCAAAGATAGAGTGATTGGCTCAGAGATCTAGAAAAGACTAAGCATAACTGGATCTAGGTGTCAGGAAGATGAGAGCTGTGGGCACCCCAGCTGCTCACTGCAGTTCCAGTCCAAGCTCAGAACTGGCCTGCAAGTGCTCGGAGAGGTCACGTGTCCATCAGTACCAGTCACTGAAGGGCTGGATATGCCTGCTGGTCAGACCTTGTCAGGGGCTCACCAAGGTGTGGTTAGCATGGAGCCCCAGGTAGAGGAGGGCACCAGGCACTGTCAAGGGAAAGAAACAGCACCCCTCTACTCCCCACCCTACCCTTTTCATTGCTCGCTTTGTTCTGGAAGTTGCAGCCTCCAGTTCCCCACCCCCAACCCCTGTGCCTCTGTCCCCAGCTACGAGATCATGCAGAAGTGCTGGGAAGAGAAGTTTGAGATTCGGCCCCCCTTCTCCCAGCTGGTGCTGCTGCTAGAGAGACTGCTGGGCGAGGGTTACAAGAAGGTAAGTTGAGTCAGGGGCAGGAGTGGGGGTAGAGGGTAAAGGAGTTCTGCTCCAGAAGGCAGACACTAGATACCAGGCTGTGTGACAGGATGGTATGTGGGGGACCACCGTTTACCCTTCCGGGACCTCAGTTTCCTTGCTGGCACTAGTAACAATGGGCTGGAGGCCGAATTTATTTCAGCTGCACAGGCTATTTTGCCCTGAAGTCCTGGGTAGAAGTTGATTGATTTAGACTGGGGGGAGGGAGCCCCTCATATCTTTGCACCTGAGCCAAACCTTGGGTCTCTCTTCAAAGTCTGAAGAGGCTTTTACAAGACAGGTGGAGCCAGCAGGGCCTGACAACCCTCGGTGTCCAAAGTGGGAGCTGTTGTGAGGGAGATGCCCGTCTCCTTTGGCATCACACAGCCCTTTTCTCCAGTGCATTCTTAACCCCGCTCCCTCCCACTTTTGGTTGGGGAGATGGAGTAGCTTAGTCACCACTGAAAACACTAGGAAAGTGAGCCCCACTGAAGGAGGCTGAGGCAGCATGAGAACCTGCACCTGTGTGCTCTGAGGTTGGGGAGTGTTAGGGCCTAGGGTGCTGGTTCACTATGGGACCTTCCTGGGTGGCCCCAACTCACCTCGTCTCATGAGATGCCAGGTGGGGGCAGCTCAGCTGTGGGACTTTGGGCGCTTCTCCCCTTCTCTGGGCTCCAGCCACCTTCCTTACAGCAGGGAGGGCAGATCTGGCCAGAATCTGCCAGAGAACTGCTAAAGACTTTCTGGCCTGACCATCCCTGTTTCTTGGGTTCCCCCCACTGTGTGGAGCAGAAGTACCAGCAAGTGGATGAGGAGTTTCTGAGGAGTGACCACCCAGCTGTCCTTCGATCCCAAGCTCGCTTGCCCGGCTTCCATGGCCTCCGGTCCCCCCTGGACACCAGTTCCGTCCTCTACACTGCTGTGCAGCCCAACGAGGGGGACAACGACTACATCATCCCCCTGCCTGACCCCAAACCCGAAGCGACTGACGAGGGACCACTGGAGGGTTCCCCTAGCCTTGCCAGGTAGGCACTCTGGCCCAGGACCCAGTGCAACAGTGTGTGCATGTGTGCGCATTTGTGTGTGTGTGTGTGCGCATGTGCGTCTTCAGAAGTAAGCTGCCTATACCTGCCTGGGCCTGCCTGGACCTGCCAGTGGAGTAGAAGAGAGGATTGGAATTCACTTGAGAATTGGTTGGAACACATTGGCAAGGTAGCAGTTTCCTTTAAAAGGCCCCCCATGGGCCATCTCCTCTCTCTTCTCACTAGGCCTTGTCCTAGCCCTAAGGAGAAGAAACCTAATTAGTACCCCCAGCACCCCATGTCTTACTCTGGGGTTATTGCCAGTTCCAGGTCTGTGGTCTGTCCCTTAGCATCAGGCCCTAGCCCCAGGGAGCCTGGCATTGTAGGAGGCAGGAGTGCAAACCAGAATTGAGGCTGAAAGGGGATCCTTGCTTTCCTTTTGGCCAGGGATGTGGCGATGTGACAGTGGGATGGGCTTTGGAGAAGGCCCTGCTACTGCCTGGACTGACTATGTAGACAGGGTCTCCCCTCAGCGGGAGAGAAGGGTTCCCCATGAGGCCAGGCCCTTCTCTGAAACAAGATCCACCCTATGGGGAAGTGCAGAGTAGCCAGCTGGGTTGACTCCAGCCCTGCCAGTGGCTGCTGTGAGACCTGCCAGGCATCCTCTTCATGTGCCTCAGTTTCCCCATGTGTACAAGGGAACACCCGTATGACATAGAGGGCCTTCCCGCCTGTTTTAGAAGTGAATGTTCCAAGGCTCCAGGTAGCCATCCTGCTGAGGAATTAAGCTCAGAGTCCCAATAGCTGGGAGCTGGGAGCTGGGAGCTGGGGTGAGGGTGGGGAGAATAAATTCTCACCCTGTTTTGTCCTCTCAGACCAGCTGCTTCTCCTCTCTGTACCTCAGTTTCCTCATTTCTGAAATGAAAATAGTAAGAGCACTTCTATTTGGAAGTTGTGGGATTAAATGAACCTTCAGGATAAAAATACTTTTCAAGAGCTGGGGCTAGAGCTGCTGGTGGTGGGGGACCCGGCCAGCTTGATCTGCTCTAAAGCTGCAGCTCCTTCACTTGCTTGCTGTGTGATGCGGGCAATGACTGCCCCTTCTGAGTGCACTTTGGCACAGCGCCTGCCTTGCTTAGTCTTCACCAGGACTAAATGAGGTGAGGTGTGTGTCAGGTGCATGTTGCAGGGCTGGACACAGAAGGCTCCTCAATACTGTTATTGTTGTACTGCAACCCGCTCCCATCCCCTCATGCCCTTGCCTCTCCTTCTAGCTCCACCCTGAATGAAGTCAACACCTCCTCCACCATCTCCTGTGATGGCCCCCTGGAATTGCAAGAGGAAGCAGAGCCAGAGCCCCAGCCCCCAGGGGAGCCTGAGCCGGAGCAGGAGTGGCAGCCGGATCCAAAAGGCCCTGAGCCTCGAGCTGAGGCGGAGGACAGCTTCCTGTAGGGCGGCTGGCACCCAGGTTGCCCTCCCAAAGTGCCCCTCTGCGTCCCAGCACCCAGCGCCTCCTGGCTTGATCCGGCCCAGCCTCCAAGTGGCTTCCATCCACCTATTCCCTCGGAAAGCTTGTGCCTCTGGCATGTCATGCCCTGCCCCCTGGGGCTGCCTTAGGAAGCAAGAACTTCAGGGGCCCTGAACAGCCCTGAGCCTCTGAGAAGGCCAGATGACTGAGCCAGGGGACTCTGTTTCCCCATCTGTAAGATGGGAAAGTTGCAATTCTCTCCCTGGCTGACAGGTTGGAATCCTGGGAGATTCTGGAGGTTTGGGAGATGGTAAATTAACTTTTTCTGCTCAGCCAACTACCCCTCGAAGGGCTACAGTTCTCTCTCGCACTTTTATCTACCCAGGAGCTGGGAAAGAGGCCATGGCCTCCCTGACTCCTGGCTGAGCTTGACCTTGGACAGTGTTGCCTCTTCCAGAAGCCACTTCTGTCGGATGCCAGTCTGCAACCCCAGGCCCGAGCGGGTCCGGGGCCATCATGCTCACTTTTGCTGGGGGCAAGCCAAGGACAGGACACCTGGCCTGCAGCCCTGCTCCAGGCACTCAGGGCACACCCCACCATAGAAAGTGCCTTTGTCTGTGTCTTCCTGGCCCCATGAGTCCTGGGGTCTTTTTCCTCATCACTTACTCCAGTCTTACTCCAGCCACCAGGGTCTCCAGGGCCAGACAGACCCACACCTGACGCTGTGTTGACATGCTTCGAGAGGCATTCACTCTTGAGGATCACACGTGCATTGGACTTGCTAAGAGGCCTTGGAGGAATCCCTCACCCTCTCTGGGTCTGTTTTCCCTTTGAAAAATAAGCAGGTTGGACTCACTGACTTTTGGTGCCCTGCCAGCACTCACATTCTAGAATATTCCAGGGTTGTATACTTGCTCAGATGAAGCAAAGCCCAACACCCCAAACCTCCATTCTGAAGGTCAGCTGGGGAGCTCACCTCCAGCCCTGGGGAGATTCCAGGCCACTGAAGACATTCAAGAACTGTGCCCCTTCCCCAGGCCACTGGCAAGTTCCAAAAGACAAGCTTCCCAGACTTTGACTTGAAGTGACAGCCAGTGTCATGTCCTGGAAGGCCCCAATAGCTGGTCTGGGGACATTGGAAGAGAACCAGACCCCTTTTAGCACCCACAGTGACCTCCGGAGCTATTCTGGGCCTCTTTGAGATCTCGCAGTGCAGCCTGACACACCAGCACCTGCTGTCCAGGTCTGTGCCACAGATGTGATGGACGGTGCAGCCCCCTGAGTGTTCCTGGAGGAGACAAGAAGACTTGGGTGGGAACCCGAGACAGGGGTGCCAAAGGCAGCTATCTGGGGGGTTGCCTTCCCACCTACCAGCTTCCCCATCCCTGAGGCATCTGGCCTCCTCCCTGTGGTCTCTGCCACTCACAATCTAGCGCCGGGGGCATTGGAGTGGGAAGTGAGGGTATGACCAAGCTTGCCAGCCAGGGAGGCAGGAAAGCGGGTGAGGGAAGGCCAGCCCCTCTGGGCACCTGCCTCTTGTGCTGCGTGGTGCCCCTGAAGCCTGGAGGAGGGCAGTGGGTTCTCACTACGGTACCAAAGATGTAATCACCTAGGTTTACAAGTATTTTAGGACTCACATTAACTCACATTATACAACAGAAGTACTATTTTGTATGCCGTCATGTTTTCTTATCTGTGTACTTTTTTTTAAGGGAAAGATTTTAATATTAAACTTGGTGCTTCTCACTCACAGATGGCATGGTGCCTCCAGGTGTGGGTCTCTGTGCCTGCAGGGGGGCAGGAGTGCAGTGGGTAGATGGGACTCTCTTGGTCACCACATTGGCCACTCATTTCCATTTCTAAAATGGGGTTTCCACCTCCCCCAAAGCACACACCTGCATACTGCTCACTAGTAGCTGTGTGAAATGAGACCGTTCGCCCAGCTCTGAGTGCATGACCCTGGGTCAGTGGGCACGTCACAGGCCCAAGTTGCTGAGCCCCTCCTAGGTCCCCGCCTTGCACCACCATGTGCTTTGGCTTTGGCAGCTAAGCTGAGACACCTGCTCCTCTCCCCTTCCCTCCGCCCACGGGTATAGAGTGAGGTGAGGCTGATGTGGCCAGTGAGAGGCATCGCTAAAGCCTGATTTCAAGCCCTGGTGAGTGGTGGTGCGGTCCGAGGTATGAACAGGGCAGCGGGGCACCCACAAGGGTCAGAGAGCAGGAAGAAGTGAGCAGAGAGGGTGAAGGAGACAGAAGAAAAGGGAAAGAGGTGGGAGGTGTATGCCCAGGAATAGACCAGGGGAGGACATGGGGCATCAGGCTGTAACTCTGAGGGCAGACACGAGCCTGGCTGGGCAGGGGATGCAGACCCAGACTCCTCAGTGGTGTGGGACTGATATGAGCTGGGCATCCTGTGCCTGCTGGCCAGCTCAGTATTAGCCGTGGTCTCTACTGCCCAGCCCAGGCCTGAGACCCTGACAGCAGCACAAGGTGGGGGCAACAGAAATGCCAGGGGTAGGGAATGAGCTGAATGCAAGGACCTAGACCCAGGTGAGGCTCCTTGGTCTCCCACCGTGGTCACTTTTGGGTGGGTCATTCGAGGTGGAACCAGGTAGCAGCCTGAGATCTGTCATTTCTCACTGTGTGACCTTGGCCATCCCTTGGTCTCTGAGCTGGAGAAGGGGCAACTCAGCTTGTTTCTTGTTTTGGAGCTACAGGCTTCCGCGGACTGCTTCCAGGGGCTTGGGCTGCCAGTGGGGAGAGAAATGGAGACATGGGGCCGCTGTGACTCACAGGCCCAACCACCAACTCAGGGACAGCTGAATCACGCGGGTAAACCCCGCTGCAGGCCTAGCCACCCATCATCCACCTGCCAGAGATTCCTGGCTCTGGAGGACACCCAGAACCCGTGACCTGGCTGTGTAGGAGATGAATAAGCCAATATGGAATCTGCCCCTTTATTAAGAGAATTAAGTCCACATTCCAGATGGGGATTTTCCTTCCTCTTGGGAGAGCTCGTTGGTCAGGAGACCTTGGCTGCCCTGCCCTTCAGAGCTGCTCCTTATCGGCCTTGGGTGAATTACTCCACACCAGGCTTCAATTTCCCCAGCAGTAAGTGGAGCTAATGATGCAAAGAAGAGACAAGGGATGATAAAACTGGCGACCTCTGATTGACAGTGACTGGGTGGCTATGGAGAGCCTGGTGCCCCGCCCTGCCCCCTGCCCCCTCTGGTATGTTTTCACAATGGAGATATATATATATATATATATTTTTTTTTAATTCAAACATATATTGCAGAAATACTTGGAAAAAAGTAATTTTTAACTGCTATGAAGTTGGACAATAAACTAAAATCAAGATCCTTGTAGAGATAGTGTGTCCATAAGAGAAAGAATAAGAGGTGCTGGGGAGAGGAAAGACCAGAAATAAAGAGCCTCTTGCTGAGAGCAAGGGAAAAAAACCAACAGTAAGAAGGCATTGGTGGGGCTGGGGCCGCATGGGCCCCTGTGCAGAGGGGTGTGGGGCTTAGGGGTGGGGAGCCACGGGTCAGCTTCTCGGACTGCTGCCCCCGACCTGCCACTCAGGCCAGCCCAAAGGAACCGGTGAGCTGGGATTTTCCCCCCAGACAGATGAGCCACTTGGACCACACAATTCTTCCACCACCCTAAGCAGAGGCAGGTCTTTGTTCCTGGAAAAAGAGGGGAGAGCCAAGCACTGCAAGGACCCCAAGACTCCTGGGACCTGACCTCCAGCCCCTGAGGTGCCTCCCAGCCCCCTTCCACCTCTTCTTTGAATTAGGACACAATCTCTAAAAGGATATTGATTTTAGTTTATTGTCCAACTTTGTAGCAGTTAAAAATGACTTTTTTCAAAGGATTTCCACGACATATATTTGCATTGAAAAATACATATCCATTGCTAAAATACATAATATTTCTTTTCCTGTCTTTGGTATTTTAGATTCCTTAGACATTTCAAATGCTTAACTTCTTTATTCAGCAGCAATGTGTGCAGGGATTTATTTTATGGAAATTCTGCCTCTTACTGTGAATATTTTACTTACGTTCTTCTAGGTTTTTTCTCTTTCACATGCATATTAATATTTGTCTTTTGCCTCTGTACTTATCTGTTTAAATATAATTATAAATGAAATTACCACTGCCATTTAACAACTTGTTTTTCCCTTAACAATACATCGTGGACATACTCACAGGTTAGCAGTACATATAACTCTAAATTCATTTATTTTAAGAGCTGTATAATCTAAAAGCATGCCTGTGCCTTTGAATATTTAATCAGTCCCTTATTGATGGATATTTCATTCATTAGAAGAAAGACCATTGTTCAGAGAGTATACTTAACTTTGCACACTTACGCAAATATCTGTCTCCCCAGGATAAATACCTAACAGAGATGCTGTGTACAGCGAGTAAACATGTAAAATGTTACTGGAGGCTAAAAGTTCCCTTTCAAATATACAAGATCATCATTCTCTCAGGAGGCTGAGGAAATGAAACATGAAGGCTGTGAAAACAACGTTATTTTAGGCTAGCTAGGTGCTCTGGGCCCCTGGAAGGAGTCTGGAGCCTTTTCTGTCTTGAGAAGAGTCACACAAGAGAGGTAAAAAGGACTTCAAGACAGACGTTCTCCCTGAGCGACCGGAGGGCTGAGAAGCCTTGTCCGGGTGGGCACTTTCCCAGGACTCAACTCGGTCCCCGCAGACTGACTCTGGCCCATTTCTGGGGCAGGGGTCCCACCAGTTGGGAAACAGGGGTCCCTGGGCTACCCTGCTCTGCTCAAGCCTCACATTTAGTGTGTGCCTGTCAATGCTCCCATGGGATCTCACAGTAAACCTGTGAAATGAGCCAACAGCGGACCAGCTGCAGATGAGGAAATGGAGGCTCAGCACCATGCAGCGGCCCAGGCACACGCAGGAGGATCTGGTCTGCCAGTCTGGGGTCCCCACTCCTGCCTTCCTCAGGGTGTCTCCAAGGCTAGTTCCTGGATTCAAAGGGCAGCAGGCTGGGGCCTGGGGTCAGGGTACTAGCTGGTCATTCAGGAGGTGGCCCCCAGAAGTCTTTGGTAGGATCCTCCTTTAAATGGTTCAGGGGCTTCCCTGGGCTGTGACAAACTCCCTCGGTTCAGAAAACGATCTTTCATGGCTGTCTGCAGATCTGGTGAGAGATCCTGGACAGGGATCTCAGGATCCAGCAGGGACTTGGGGACACTACAGAATCAGCCTGTCTCCCTCTGAACCCTCACCCCTACCCCCAGGACTCTGCTCCATCTTCCAACCGACTTGGGACAGTTCTATCCTCTCTTTCTGGCTTTGGGTTTCGAGGGTAATCACTGCAAGGAACTAGAGAAGTTACAAACACGGGGAAGTAGCAAAGCTTCTGGATTCTCAGAATTCTCAAAGCCCTGGTTCCCCTTCTGAAGAGACAAAATGGACGTTTCCATGCTGAAAGTTTCTCTTCTTTGCTATCGAGTTCAAGGCTATGAGCTGGGCTTTCCGTTGCTCAGACACCTCCAAGGGTTCCTTATGGCCAAAACCAAGCGCAGACTCCAGTGTGGTGCGAGGCCTCTCCCATATCTCCCCCCATGCCTGTCTGCCCCCGGTGGGCCATGAACTTCCCCAGCTTCCAGCAGTGCCAGGGCTCACTTCTCTCCACATTCTAGCCAACAAGTGTTATCTCTTGTCCTTTTGATAAAGTCGTCCCGACAGGCGTGAGGGCGTAGATCAGTGTGGTTTGGGTTTCTATTTCCCTGAGGATGAGTGATGTGGAGCAGCCTTTCCTGAACCTGAGGGGTCCTCCTGTTCTTTGGAAAAACATATCTTCAGGCCCTTTGTCCATTTAAATCAGTCTGTTCATTTTGCCATCACATATGCATTCTTTACATGCTCTGGATGTTAGCTCTTTGTCAAATCATCAGATAAATGATTTGCAAATATTCAATAGGTTCTCCCATTCAGTAGGTGGCCTTTTTATTGCTCTGACCATTTCTTTGGCTGTGTGGAAGCCGGACATTTGTGGGGGCTTCCTCACCTGCTAGAACACCCTCTAAGCTGGAGGGCAGAGTCTTGCTCAAGCCTCCAGCCTTGCACGAAATCACCACCTCCTAGAAGCCTTCCTGATCACTCTACTGGAAGTGACTTCTCTTCCCAGTGCTCTGTTTGTGTCTGGTGGGCCCTCATGCTTATCTGACCCCTCAGTCTCCAGATGTTCTGTGCCCTCCAGAGATAACTCCATGCTGTCTCTCTTTCCTGAAACCTTCCCTGCTTCTTCCACCTCCCCCAACTCATTCTCAGCCCAGGCCAATTCTTCCTTGTCTCCTCTTCAGTGCTCCAGCCATCCTACAACTCTTCTGAGTCACGGTTTCTCTCTTGGCTCCACCACCAGGCTATGCACCCCAGAGGGGAGGGATCAGGCTGCCCTGTTCCCCACTCTGTGCCTAGGGCCAAACACAGAGAAATGTTCAGTAAGTATCTGTTGAGTGCACCTCACCTGCATCACTGGATCAGAGTCAATGCTCCCCCACCTAGTTTGACAGAAGAAACTGAGGCATGGACAGGCTGGGCTTGGCTGTGGTCGCATAGCTAGGAGGGGGGCAGGCCATCCCTGATCTATCTAGCCCCAGAGCCTAGACGGACATTTGATCTTTCTGACCTCCCTAGCTATTGTTGAGAGCTCTCTGTGGTTGAGTTCCTGGGTTCAAATCCAGTTGTGCCACATATAGGCTCTGTGACCTTGGCCAGGCTACTTAACGTCTCTGAGTCTACCTTTCCATGCCTGTAACATGGGATAATTATAGTTCCCCCCAAAGTGGTCATGAGGATCTAATGAGATGATCTGTGCAGAGTTTAGTCCAAAGACTGTCACAGGGAGGGCATGGGGAAAAGGGTGACTCTGGGCTCCACTGCTTTAGTGAGATTATTAAAGGCACAGTTTTGGGTAGCTGCTTAGATACTGGTAGATAGGGGAGCCCAGCAGGCAGGGGAGAGCCCCACATCTGCACCTTCCTAGGTGTAGGACAGGGCCTGACATGTGAGCATTTGCAGAATGGGAGTGGTTTTTGGGAGTCCTGTGCTCCTCATTCATCCATTTACTCAATAATTCATGCGGCAGCAGTGGCTGAGCCTGCACCTGCCGGGCATGAGCCAAGTATAGAGGCTACGAAGAAGCCTGGGAGAGACGCAGGCCCCGCCAGGTGCGGAGGGGTGAAGCTGGAGTGTGGAGGGGTCAAGGTGACATTGAGTCCACACCCCTCTCATAGCGGTGCTAGTGCCGACAAGCAAACTCAGGGGTCAGGAAGAACACAAGACGGGCCAAGTCAGCAGGTGAGCATGACCCACAGGCAAGAGCGACAGAGAAGCAAGAAAGAAGGGCATGGTGAGTTCAGGAGCTGAGAGCACAGACTTCAGGGTCGCAGTGGGGCAAGTGGGGAGCAAGGATGGTGGGGACATACCACGAGGCCCTGGAGGCCATGCTGGAGGGTGGGCTTGGTCTGCATGGCAGGGGTAGAAAAGCAGATGGAACAAATACCAGTAGTGCCATGAACCAAACACTAGACCTCCTGTAGGCTTCAATCCCAGAAGCAGAGGCTACCAAACCTTCTGGTTGAAGCAGGAGCAGCAGAAATGCTGTCCTGAGGATGAGCCCCTGGCTCCTGATTTGGGTTCCACTCTATGATCCTGGGGCAGAACTGCACTGGAGCCAGTGAGGAGGATGGAGGCTCAGGGTCTCTGCCACTGGGTCTGCATGTGGCAGGCGCCAGGAGCCAGAAAGGGAGGTGAGGATTAGGCCCTCAGTGACATGGCCCACACAGGTACCTCAGGATTTCCAAACCCCTGGGCTGACTTGCAAAGTTTCTCTGATAGAGGAAGAAGTGAATGTCAATCCAGGATCCCTGTTTGTCACCTTCTTGGCAGTCGCATTGAGGCTTCCCCAGCCAGGGGTCACCCCACTGAGCACCAGCATTTCCATCCCACATCTCCTGGTGCTGCTGGGAAGGACCCAGGGCCCCTGTGCAGTGTGGTGGTCATCAGACAGGCTCTGAGGCCAAGCTGTGGGCTTCAATCCCCTCCGTCATCTGGGTTGAGCAAGTGATAAAACCTCTCTGAAACCTAGATTCCACATTTGCAAAATGGGTTAATGAGCAGAGCCAGCCTCCCAGGTGAGAGGATTACATGAGGACCTGGGAGGTGGTTGGTACATCAACAACATTCAGAAAATGTTAGCCCTCCAAACACCCTTTTCCCAGGACAGAATGCTTTCCTGCCTGCAGAGTTTTGGGACACTCATTCATTGAATCATTTATTTTTCAAACATCTGAAGTCAGTGAATCAGAACAACTCAAGAGGTAGATTACCCTCACCAGCTGTATGATCTTGGGAGAGTGACTTAACTTCTCTGGGTTTTGGGTGAATCATATCTACCTCTATACAGTGTTGAGAACTGAATGAGAAAACTCCAAGGACACTTGGCATGTTGCCTGACATATAGGGAGC